GAGCCGGAGCCAGTGTCTGCTGCTCCAGAGCCGGAGCCAGTGTCTGCTGCTCCAGAGCCGGGGCCAGTGTCTGCTGCGGAGCCAGTCCGTAGTTTTTTTGGGTTAAAAATTATCCAAAATACATATTTGATAAAATACGTAACCAGCCAGTGTTCAAAACTCTCTGCTTGCCGCAGCTTGATTCAAAACGGTAAGCTTGTAATAATGTTTTTAATTCCAGTGGTACTGGTGGATTTCCGCAGGAGATTCGAGCATGTCTTTGCGTCATTACGTCACATCTGCACACACACACATCTGTACACACACACATTTGTCCACATAAAGAAGGAGTCTCGGCTAGTAGGCTATATATTGCGTGTGAGGATGCTGGAGGTGGAGATTTATAGCCTTTTCTCACAGCACTTGATATAATTCAACTTATCAATTTGATGTCGGATCCAGAAAGGTTCAAACGACGATCATCAGTGACAACTAGAGACTCACCCGCTGTAAAATGCAAAAGACTTCGTTCGGACTTCGGAGTGGCTACAGAAAAAAAGAGACTGCAACCGGCCCATGCGAAAACAAGGATAATATCGGAAGGACATTACATGTAGTCACGCAATGCTTGCTGACGTTGTTAATATTAACAATTTGAGATCAAAGTATAATTTGCACGGTTTTGCGTGATATGATAACTTATAAGCGATTGTTAGATTTAATCAGCGCAATTTACTGCAATGTCAGAACCAGAACAAAAGTGGATGTTTCTTACTTGTTTAGATTACATTTTACGGTGAAAATTCTTATGTTGGTCATACTTCCAAAAAGAATAATCTGTGATTCTGAATGCCAGTATCCACACCGACGCGGTGACTGACACATACACACTCTCCTCAAACACTGGGTTCATCCGCGCAGTGCCGTGTCGAGGGTGTTGAACTCACGCAAAGTTGATAATTCCGCGAATGACTGCAATTGCAGATATCGAACAGAGATGGCGACAAGGAGGAAAAACGCCGGACTGCAGCTTTAAATGTTAGGTTATGGTTGGGGTTGCCTACTGTGCGCGCCGGCGCTATTGTTATGTGCCAGCCTTTTTGCCTGTGAAATCTCTTCATCTGTTCTCTGTTAAAAAATATATCATGTCTACCTGATTGTGTGTGTGTGTGTTTGTGTGTGTAGATTTCAAAATGACTCGTAGGAAGTTCCAGCCTTGCCCCTCCTGCCAAGCACCTAACCAGGTAAGAGGAAAGTGGAATAGAGCATTATGTCCAATATTAAAGGGGTCATATAATGCCATTTTTGTACAAGCTAATATGATTCTTTAGAGTCTAAATTAAAACTTTCTAATATACTTTAATTAAAAATTCTCATTAGTATTGTAAGAAAACACTTATTTTACCTGGTCAAAAACAGCTCTGTTTTCAGCACGCCGTTTCAGTGCATATGCCTTTAAATGATAATGAGCTTTGCTCACCCCGCCTCTCTGTTCTGTGTACACCGTTTGTAACACAATACCATAACGCGTTGTTCATTATAGATGTGGGATTATGAATTATATTGAGAACGTCGTACATAGAAAACATGCCGTAATGTACCCTGAGTGTAAACCTTAGACGCATTCATTGTGAAGCGTGCATCTAGCGATTTGCAAAGATTAATATAAATATTAAAGATTAATAAAACGATACACTCACTTCAGTTATTTTGGAGGTTCAGCAGGAACACGAATAGTTGGTACTTCTTAGCAAAACCAGCTTTATACTGACCCTCCTCGTTTATAAGCAGTCTGGTGTGAAATGATTCGCGCAAATATGAAAGCATTGACGTTGCTCGTGGGGAATATTCCCTTCGAAAACAAACTCAGCCACTGCGTCTTCAGCGGTTCGGATTTAGGAACATTAAAATGACTGCTGTGTTCGTTATTACACCCAAGAACAGAACACCACAATCGCTTAGACGCCATTCTGCTCATAGACAGTGCTCCAGCATATCAACAATGACCGCGCCGGTCCGCGCAGACTATGATTGACAGCTCGCTCCCTCACGAGCGAGGGCGGGTCTGTGTTGAAACCTGGCTGTCAATCAACAATCGCGGGAGGGGCGTCCGTTTTATTGACGTCACAAAAACGAACGGCTCAATTTGAGGCAGGGGAATACATATAAGGAGATTAAAACAAAACCACTGGATGGATTTTTATCATTATATGATGTTTGTGTACAGGCACTGCCAACACACATTTCAGTACAATCAACTTGTAAAAGTGCATGTACCATTATATGACCCCTTTAAAATATGTGGTTTTAATGTTCTACATTTCTCATTAGTAGGACACTAAACTATACTCCTACTAAATGACCCTGTATGATATCTGTACTGTGTTACAAAACAGTGATAATGTAAGTTGTCTGGGTTGATGTCAATTTTGATTGCTTGTTTTGCACCAAACGCCATAGGCAACTTTCATTAGAGTAGCCTGGGTGTCTCCTACATCTGCCACTTTCACTGTATGATTATAATAATAATAATCCTGTGTCAATCTAGAGACGCATATTCTGAATAGCATTGAGCTTCGTGTGTTCCTCTTTCCTGTATACAGCCAAATTAAACTGTATCTTGATTGTACTTCTTCTCTGTGACTGTGGATCTGATGTCTCACTTTGGTATACTTTTACCAACACAGGTGAGCCGCAAAACCTGCAGCTCTTGTTTCACAACCATCTCCAATAAAACCAAACTAATGGCCAAAAAAGTGTCCCTGGACAGGGAGTGGGGGGAAAGGATCCTAAAAAATAGAAATGCAGGAAGAGTGGTGGACTCTGCCAATATTGCAGTAAGTAGAAATGCTCATATTTCATTAAGCAATATGATTTGTTTCACTTTCATTAATATTGCGTGATAGGGCAAGGACCTCATTTTACAAAAATACGTTTAATCTGTCAGTGAATGAATTTGAGGTAGTCATGGCATCAGTGTAACATATTATTTTAATTAATTTGTCATTTGCTTGACATGCATACATGCATTTGTTTACATATACAACCGGCTACATAGTAAATATAAACTTGCTTTAGTACCACACAGACGCTATGCGTGTTATTGAAGTCTCTGTCTCTGCTAAAGGCAAATCACAGAATACAGACCCAGAGTAATGTAAGTACAGTGCCAAGAATAAGTTTAGACCCCCGTGCTAAAGTTGCCTAAAAAGAGGAATAAAAAATCATCTTTTGGAAATTGATCGTAATGCCTTAATTACAAAAATGAGGAAAACTCCAACCTTTAAGGACACCAAGTTTCTTTGTGAATGATTAATGTATCGTAAATAAATAAATGTTCTTCCTTAGAATTAAGGGTGCATAAGTCAGGAGTCAGGACACCCCTATGTTAAATCCCGATAGAGCCAGGCAGATTTTTTTTTAAAGGCCAGTTATTTCATGGATCCAGGATACTATGCATCCTGATAAAGTTCCCTTGGCCTTTGGGATTAAAATAATCCCACATCATCACACACCCTAGAGATATTTAATCTTTCTGAGGAGATCTGCTAGCTTGTGTACACAGAGCGCTACGAGTCTGACAGGAGGATGGCTGGACCAAGCGCATGCTGCTCAGTCGAAACGGGCTTCCCATTGACAAATGATCATTGTTTGTGTACATTTCTAAGCTTTTTGATTGGTTCTATACAACGTGTAACACCATATTTGGAGAGCAGAGATAGTGAGGTTTCAGGGGATACCCGAAAAAATGCTCAGAGGTGACCAGAGGAGTTGAGAAAAGCAATGTTCATTTCCAGCGAATTTAGTAAAACTTTGTCAATTTTAATAGTCATTTAAATATCTTTACTCAATTATCTGGATTATGAAACTTTGGGAGATTATCTTTGAAGACTGTTCTTTGAAATTAGCAACAAAAAACGATTATTTCATTGTTTTTACACATGATCGGCCATATCTTAAAACGCAACTTTGTGACTTCCGACTCATTTCGCCAGAGCGGATCACATTACATGAATATTGGTTGTATAGAGCAGGGGTTCTCAAAGTGTTTGTGCCAAGGACCCTTTGTGTGGGAGAACAATTTCCAAGGACCCCCTCAATCAAAACAATTCAGCATATGCTTGCTACCATTTGTATACTGTGGTGCCATTTCTATTCTTCATTTCATGAAGTTGAGTCCGGGTTCACTATTCCGTGTTTTCTAGCTGGTGTGTAACTTGGTCTTTAGTCAACTTTGGATTTTGAATCACTTAATGATGTGAACTGACTCAAACATTTATCTACGTTCATCATCTTAATGCCAAGTAAGCCAAGCTAAGCAGCAGGAAGAACGGTTCATCATGACCTGAGTGAAGTGATTCACAACAGATTGACTTGATTTGTCATAATCACAAAAAAGTTAAATGTTAATGTTTTAATTTATTGGTGCATTTATAATCAATATTTTATATGTAGATTCTAGATCATTACATCGTCATTGATAAGCATTTCTTAATGATAAAGCACAACTTTCTCATTCAAAGCAAATCAACTTTGAGAACCACTGGTATAAAGTTCAAATGTAATGTTATTTTTAAGGGGAAAAGCTGTTAAGGTTGATAATGTTAATTGTGTACCTGTATATTAGAACCAGTATTTTTTTTTTTACAATATTTCAATACGGTGGAAAATAATGCAGTGGGAATAACTAATGTTGGCTGTCTGCATTTATTTATTACAGGTGAAAAAACTAAGTGCATTGGGCTATGTCCCAATTCTTTTTTTTGCAAAAAAAGATAAGGCTTCTGGAAAGTGGGTGGCCGATGTGGTGACCCATCTGCCACCCACTGAGGATAATCTAAAAATTGTGGCCACCATGAGAATCGCCTACAATTTTGTATTGATCAAACAAGGTAGGATTTGTTTAATTTAAGTCATGACGGTTTTAAACAGGTTTTTTTTAATGATTGGGAAATATCGAAAATCAACATACACATACAATATTCTAGGTAACTCCACAACGACATTACCAGAGCCCCAACATCAGGGCCAGCCCGAGCCACAGCATCAGCATCAGGGCCAGCCCGAGCCCCAGCATCAGCATCAGGGCCAGCCAGAGCCCCAGCCCCAACATCAGGGCCAGCCCGAGCCCCAGCATACGCATCAGGGCCAGCCAGAGCCCCAGCCTGTCTCTCTCCCTGTGAAGGAACAAACCTCCCCACAAAATAAAAGAAAGTGTAAGTGAACTAAGATCTTAGCACACTATGTATGAATTTCCCCTTTTTGTAATCATTATTCATGAAATACAGAAATCTTCAGGTGGATTCAAGTCCAGTCAATTAGTTAATAGTGAGTAATTTTCAGTGGCCAGTCTAATACACAAAGGAGTTTGTCCTCGCATACATACCTTTCAGTACTGCACTGTCACAGTGTCTGGTTTATGTTCCCTGATGTCCACTAGAGGTCCTCTTTCCCCACGGTGTCATTCACCTTTGGAACTGCATTCCCCACAATCCTTGTCTGCGCTCATCACTGTTCATTGCACTCAGCTGTTCCCCATCTTGATTGTCATGTTCTTTGTGTATAAATACCCTGCCTGTTTAGTGTTTGTTACGGAGTCCTTGTTATTCGTCACACCACTGTGTTCTTGCCAGTTTTGTTCTGTTTTTCATATATGGATTGCTTATTTGGATTTCGACCTTTGCCTGGACTGTTGTGAGTACGGATTACCCTTGAATAAAGATACTGCTTTTGGATCTTCTGCTTCCTGTGTGTGGACACGTGACAGAAGGACTCTGTCGCTACAAGATCCAGCGGTAGGTGTTCTAATTTCTCTTCCCCAGCCACCGAGCGGGAGAGAAGAGAACTTTTTGAGGGTACCCGGTTGGTCATATTTCGCAGGACCCGTGGAGGAGGTGGTCGAGAGGAATCCCAACACCATTCTCCACTCAGGCCCCTCTTCGACCCTGGGCTGGTGATATCCAGCCCAGAGCTCCATCCGCTGCTGTTTCCGTCCAGCCCAGAGCATGCACATCACCATCAGAAACGGCAGAGGAGGAGGAAGACCTCCAGCCTCCCCAAGAGCCCGGAGGCCATGCCCCAGCAGCCTGTTGTTTTTCCGGAGGCCGTACCAGAGACCGCTCACGTCACGTCTGCGGAGCCAGAAACTGCTCACGTCCCGTCTGCCCAGTCAGAGACGGTTCACGTCGCGCCTGCCCAGATAGAGACGGCTCACGCCACGTCTGCCCAGTCAGAGACGGATCAGGAGATGCCCATTCTCGTGGCCGCGAGGGCACTGACCGACTATTTGGAACATCTAGCTCAGATCCTGGAGATGCCCTTGTCTGCTGTTCCTGAGCCAGAGCCAGTGTCTGCTGTTCCAGAGCCGTTCCTGAGCCGGAGCCAGTGTCTGCTGTTCCAGAGCCGTTCCAGAGATCAGCAGTCAGTGTCTGCTGATCCAGAGCCGGAGCCCCAGTGTCTGCTGTTCCTGAGCCGGAGCTAGTGTCTGCTGTTCCAGAGCCGTTCCAGAGCCAGAGCCAGTGTCTGCTGTTCCAGAGCCGTTCCTGAGCCAGAGCCAGTGTCTGCTGTTCCAGAGCCAGAGCCAGTGTCTGCTGTTCCAGAGCCGTTCCTGAGCCAGAGCCAGTGTCTGCTGTTCCAGAGCCGTTCCAGAGCCGGAGCCAGTGTCTGCTGATCCAGAGCCGGAGCCAGTGTCTGCTGTTCCTGAGCCGGAGCCAGTGTCTGCTGTTCCTGAGCCGGAGCCAGTGTCTGCTGTTCCTGAGCCGGAGCCAGTGTCTGCTGTTCCAGAGCCGGAGCCAGTGTCTGCTGTTCCTGAGCCGGAGCCAGTGTCTGCTGTTCCTGAGCCGGAGCCAGTGTCTGCTGTTCCTGAGCCGGAGCCAGTGTCTGCTGTTCCTGAGCCGGAGCCAGTGTCTGCTGTTCCAGAGCCGTTCCTGAGCCAGAGCCAGTGTCTGCTGTTCTAGAGCCAGAGCCAGTGTCTGCTGTTCCAGAGCCGTTCCTGAGCCGGAGCCAGTGTCTGCTGTTCCAGAGCCGTTCCAGAGCCGGAGCCAGTGTCTGCTGATCCAGAGCCGGAGCCAGTGTCTGCTGTTCCTGAGCCGAAGCCAGTGTCTGCTGTTCCTGAGCCGGAGCCAGTGTCTGCTGTTCCTGAGCCGGAGCCAGTGTCTGCTGTTCCTGAGCCGGAGCCAGTGTCTGCTGTTCCTGAGCCGGAGCCAGTGTCTGCTGTTCCAGAGCCGGAGCCAGTGTCTGCTGTTCCAGAGCCGGAGCCAGTGTCTGCTGTTCCAGAGCCGGAGCCAGTGTCTGCTGTTCCAGAGCCGGAGCCAGTGTCTGCTGTTCCAGAGCCGGAGCCAGTGTCTGCTGTTCCAGAGCCGGAGCCAGTGTCTGCTGTTCCAGAGCCGGAGCCAGTGTCTGCTGTTCCAGAGCCGGAGCCAGTGTCTGCTGTTCCAGAGCCGGAGCCAGTGTCTGCTGTTCCAGAGCCGGAGCCAGTGTCTGCTGTTCCAGAGCCGGAGCCAGTGTCTGCTGTTCCAGAGCCGGAGCCAGTGTCTGCTGTTCCAGAGCCGGAGCCAGTGTCTGCTGTTCCAGAGCCGGAGCCAGTGTCTGCTGTTCCAGAGCCGGAGCCAGTGTCTGCTGTTCCAGAGCCGGAGCCAGTGTCTGCTGTTCCAGAGCCGGAGCCAGTGTCTGCTGTTCCAGAGCCGGAGCCAGTGTCTGCTGTTCCAGAGCCGGAGCCAGTGTCTGCTGTTCCAGAGCCGGAGCCAGTGTCTGCTGTTCCAGAGCCGGAGCCAGTGTCTGCTGTTCCAGAGCCGGAGCCAGTGTCTGCTGTTCCAGAGCCGGAGCCAGTGTCTGCTGTTCCAGAGCCGGAGCCAGTGTCTGCTGTTCCAGAGCCGGAGCCAGTGTCTGCTGTTCCAGAGCCGGAGCCAGTGTCTGCTGTTCCAGAGCCGGAGCCAGTGTCTGCTGTTCCAGAGCCGGAGCCAGTGTCTGCTGTTCCAGAGCCGGAGCCAGTGTCTGCTGTTCCAGAGCCGGAGCCAGTGTCTGCTGTTCCAGAGCCGGAGCCAGTGTCTGCTGTTCCAGAGCCGGAGCCTGTGTCTGCTGTTCCAGAGCCGGAGCCAGTGTCTGCTGTTCCAGAGCCGGAGCCAGTGTCTGCTGTTCCAGAGCTTGAGCCAGTGTCTGCTGTTCCAGAGCTTGAGCCAGTGTCTGCTGTTCCAGAGCCGGAGCCAGTGTCTGCTGTTCCAGAGCCGGAGCCAGTGTCTGCTGTTCCAGAGCCGGAGCCAGTGTCATCTGTTCCTGAGCCGGAGCCAGTGCCGGAGCCAGTGTCTGCTGTTTCTGAGCCGGAGCATGTGCCGGAGCCAGTGTCATCTGTTCCTGAGCCGGAACCAGTGCCGGAGCCAGTGTCTGCTGTTCCTGAGCCGGACCCAGTGCCGGAGCCAGTGTCTGCTGTTCCTGAGCCGGAGCAAGTGCCGGAGCCAGTTTCATCTGTTCCTGAGCCGGAGCCAGTGTCGTCTGTTCCTGAGGAGCCGGAGCCAGTGTCGTCTGTTCCTGAGCCGGAGCCAGTGTCGTCTGTTCCTGAGGAGCCGGAGCCAGTGTTGTCTGTTCCTGAGCCGGAGCCAGTGTCGTCTGTTCCTGAGGAGCCGGAGCCAGTGTCGTCTGTTCCTGAGCCGGAGCCAGTGTCGTCAGTTCCTGAGGAGCCGGAGCCAGTGTCGTCTGTTCCTGAGCCGGAGCCAGTGTCGTCTGTTCCTGAGCCGGAGCCAGTGTCGTCTGTTCCTGAGCCGGAGCCAGTGCCGTCAGTTGCTGTTCCTGTGCCAGTGTCGTCAGTTGCTGTTCCTGAGCCTGTGTCGGTGTCTGTTCCTGAGCCTGTACCGGTGCCTGTTCCTCCGCCCTGGCCGCCCGAAGGGTCTTCACCGCCCTGGCCTCCCGATGGACTTTCTGTTTCGCCCTGGCCGTCGGCTAAGCTCTCACCCCTTGTTCCTGTTTCCCTTCATGGACCTGGCCCACCATCCCTCCCCCTGGTCCTCCACCGTTCCACCTCCCTCCTGAACTCTTGTGTTGTGTTTTAGTTATGTCTTGGAGCGTCTGCTAGCCGCTCCGTAGAGGGGGGGTCATGTCATAGTGTCTGGTTTATGTTCCCTGATGTCCACTAGAGGTGCTCTTGCCCCACGGTGTCATTCACCTTTGGAACTGCATTCCCCACAATCCTTGTCTGCGCTCATCACTGTTCATTGCACTCAGCTGTTCCCCATCTTGATTGTCATGTTCTGTGTGTATAAATACCCTGCCTGTTTAGTGTTTGTTACGGAGTCCTTGTTATTCGTCACACCACTTCTGAGTCCTGTGTTCTTGCCAGTTTTGTTCTGTTTTTCATGTATGGATTGCTTATTTGGATGTCGACCCTTGCCTGGACTGTTGTGAGTTCGGATTACCCTTGAATAAAGATACTGCTTTTGGATCTTCTGCTTCCTGTGTGTGGAAACGTGACATGCACAGTCACACACACTCTAGGAGTAAAGCAATGAGCAATACACACTTGAGGAGAGATGAACAAACACACACACACACACACATACATACATGCATCAGTGGGCAGCCCAGGTAGTTTATTCCCTCACCTACCACTGTTCACAAGTCTGCTTCAATAACCTTTAGGCTAGGCAGTAGTATACTTAGGCTACATTTCGGCTATGAAATCACTGAATTTGATGGCTAAAGGGCAGTTTATTCTAGGAATGATAACTTTAACCATAACGATAAAAGCGTCCAGACTGACCAACGATAAGCAAAGTCTCATTTAAAAGTCAAAGTCCACTCACAAAGTTGTTAACAAATATGATGGTTAAAATGTGATGGGTTCTTATTGTCTGTTAGCTTTTTATCGTTCTCAAAATCACTTTAAAAGTGATCCCCAACAATATTGTTCTACATGTCGTTATAGTTTATCATATTTACAAGAACAATATTTTTTTATAATTATCGTTCTTGGTGTGAATGGCCCTTTTGACGTTTTCAAAGTTCAAGGACAATAGTTAATGTTCTTCCCCAAGAATTTGTTAAAGTTTCTTGACATTTATGGTTAATTAATATATATATATTAATTAATTATAATTTTTTTGTCATTTAAGGTTGTTGGGAATGCAGTAGGCAACAGATCTTCAAATATGACCCCATAACAGGAAGAAGGATAAATGAGGTAAGATGGAAATATATTTTTCATTAGTCTGTCTGATCATCTCTCAATTGTCTGTGGCTCATCTGGCATTTCACATATCACAAAATACTGACCATTTAAGCAAGTGGTTACCAACTTCAGTCATCTTCACCCCCCATTGCATTTTTGATTAACTGCTGTGCTTTTTACATTATCTTTATATTTTAAACAGACTTAGATAAGTCTTGAGTTGGAATAACACACATTTTCTGAGTCCATTTTTCATCATCATCATTGCAACTGGTCCTTTAACAACAAGGCAAAGCTAATGTAAGAAATAATAATTATAACAATAATTTGAAATTCAAAACCTGATTACATGTATGTGTCTTTCTGTAGGGGCAAGCAGAAGATAAGGTGAAATGTTTACCTTGCTCTGCATGGTAAGTACTGCTTTATATTGGTTTATATTGCCTTCATACATGTCCTTTCTGTTTCCACTTTTAACTATCTCATAGATAGTGGATAAAGTTTGTAATGTAATGCATGGCTACATCTGCTGACGAGCTTTATGTGTATCCTGATTTCCTTTTCCAGCAAGACTCTGCCCCTGCCACAGTGCCAAAACTGCTAGTAACTGGTTTGCTTTGCATGGTATTACTGTGCTTAAATCGTCTCACCTAAACCCCATAGAGAGGACAATGACAGACCCCAAACCCAACATTACAGACAACCTCAAGATTACTATAAAAGCAACCTGGGCTTCCATAACACGTCAGCAATGCCATACACTGATGGCCTCCATACCACACCACAATGAAGCAGTAATTTGTGCAAAAGCAGCCAGACCAAGTATAGAGTGTATGAATTAAATATTTTTGATAAAGTCAGATTTGTTAAGTTATTGTCAAAAGGTCGACATTTCTTTATTCCTCTTTATTCTAATATTTTGAGATGATGATTTTTGGTCTTCATGAGCTGTAAGCTGTCATCATCAAGATTAAAACAACAAAAATGGCTTGAAATATTGCACAATATTGTAATTTTAGAGACCCACCTATATATTAATTGCACTATTGGTTACACTGTTGGTATAGGATGGATTAAATGCAGTGTCAAATATTGTCTACAGGATTTAGTCACTTGCTCTTTTCAGTACCATGCCATGCATAATTGCCCCCGTGTGATTCTATATAGGAAACCAATACCACTTTGACCAATATATTGGTAGAACATCAGTATCAGCCAAGATCATCCTCGTTGACTGATATTGGCTCTTGGCTAGTTTTCTTTCTATGACTTTATCGATGAAAGTGGCTGATGTTTAACATTGCATCAAACACTATATATGTATATGTATACTTTTTATACTTTGTAGAAAAACAATGAAATACAAGACCATACAATATTTTATTGAAAATATGCTGTGAAACTGTTATGTTAAAATGGCTCCTCTGTTTTTAACTGTTCTAATGTGGTTTTGTGTTACTGATACTTACAGTGGAAAAATCTGGGAGGAGACATGGGAGCCGGCCTGCCAGTTCCCATCAGGTGCCAACCTAGTGTGACGTCACTAACAGTTGTCGAGTTCCCACAGCCATCCCATTAATATTTACTTTCAGTGCTGTTTTTATTATTATTATTGATTTTTGTAAAAGCTGTGTTCAAATAAATCAATACCATTCACCTCGTGGGTTAGCCAATCAGCAGAAATCTTCTTCAGTGTGTCAAATGATATATTGCAATATGATGCACTGAAGTATGTAGGGAGGTGGGACATGTTTTCATTCATATTAATTGACACCATTAAGAGACTGTTGATTCCACTAGCTCAGGGTTTCTCAAAGTGTGTGGCGCGCCCCACTGGTGGGGAATAGAAACATGACAAGTGGGGCACGACAAACGGGAGAAAATGTGGTAATTTTGTGCCCAACTCTATTAATTCCTTTATTTATTGAGCATAAACTCAAAACAAAATGACGACACATTTAAATGTAAGCCTTACTTAACCTTTTCACATGTAAGTTTAAAAGTTTTTAGAGGCGCCCGTTATTTAGATCGTATCCCTTTATGGTTTCCATGGTGACGCGTCATTGCTTGTCACACCGCAGCCACAATAGCGCTGAATGACTGATTATCTGCTTTTATTTCACAAATTTGTTGGCTATAGCAGGAAATATCTGATATTCCGTTTGTCAAATATGAGCAGGTGGATGTGTTTTGTTGTTTAAACACCTTAGTTGAGCTATACGCGATGGGCGTTAGTTTATGCCGCATTTTATGGCGCTTTTCCATTACCAGTACCAGCTCGACTCGACTCGACTCGCCTTGGCTCGCCTCGACTCGGCTCGCTTTTCGCTCCGTTTTCCATTGCAGAAAGTACCGCCACAAATAGTACCCGGTCGTCATAGCGACGCATTTCGTTCCTCGTTGCCCCATCAAGCTCTCGCTGGATCCTCTCTTCGGCAACCAAACAAAGGAATGTCTGCACCTCCTCGTTTGACCACGGCGTATTCTTCCGAGTTGCCATAATAATAGTAGTAAGTTTAGTAACTATCTCTGGCCAAACTATTTAAAATACTCCATCTGGCGCGTGCAATGATGACGCAGATTCTCTGTGACCAATCAGCAGTCGGCATTGTTTTCACGTCACATTTTAGTATCGGCTTAGCTCGCCTCAGCTCGCTTGGAACCTCGCCGGAGGTGGTACGAAAAAAAGTAGGGATGGCCCGATACCGATACTGGCATCGGGGATCGGGCCGATACTGTCCTAATATACTCGTACTCGTACTCATAAAAATTCGCCGATACCACGCACCGATACCACGTACATTTTGCAAAACGAAACTGGCCGCCGCGAGTGCTTTGTCGAGGTGAACTGAGGCATAGGAAAGTATAGGCTAATGTCGGCGGTTTGGGCTCATTTCAAGATAAGGGATGATGACAACAGCAAGGCAGACTGTGAGTTATGTTCAGCTAAGGTGTCGAGAGGAGGGAAAGAAAGTACATCGTTTAACACCAGCAATCTAATTAAACATCTGAAGACGCATCATAGATCTGATGGCCGAGCGCGCACGCGGGCGGTAATGCTCACTCTGTGTGTGCGGGTTACGGGAGAATAAAACGATTCGCGGGACTCCCGCAAACTAGAAATATCTATGAATAAAACATAAAAACTAAAATATTTTTATTAATCTCTTGCAGAAAAGCAACAAGAACAACTACAACAAAATAGAAACGATTTACAGGACAGAGTTTCTATTCATAACATGGTTACAGCGTTGAGCGATGTAGCCAATCACAGACATATGTGTTGATTTCTGGAACGCAATGGCCAATCAGAAGCATTTAAGATAGACTCCCCTCACCGCTCAAAACGGACTTTTTTGTTCAGTGCTGAATTCTGTATGCTGGCAAATCCTCTAATTATAACAAACAAAGTGTGGATATTATGAAAGATTGATTGTGCAGTCAGCTTCATTGATAATAACAGAGATGTGTGAGATCGCGATGAACTGTCAGCTTTTAGGATTTATTAAGGGAGCGCACTTTGCGCGCATTCAGTCATGCCAGACCATGCACGCAGTAGCCTGCTTGCTTTTATGTTAAATTAACAGTGGTTTGTGTGTTAATACATTTATTATTTTACTAATTTTTATTTATTTTTTAGACTTGTTAAAACAAGCAGAGAAGAAAATAAAAACAGTCTTCTAACCTGTGTTCTAAAATAGTCGTCTTCTTTTCTGGGAGCCTATTACTTTTGCGGTAGAAATATCGGTATCGGTACTCGGTATCGGCAAGTACACAAATGTAAATACTCGTACTCGTATCGGTTTGAAAAAAAATGGTATCGGGCCATCCCTAAAAAAAAGTACCCGAAAGCAGGTACAGGTACAACTTTTACACAGTGGAAAACCAAACAAAGGCGAGTCGAGTCGAGCCGAGCCGAGCCGAGGCGAGCTGGTACTGTGTAGTGGAAAAGCGCCATTAGAGAATCGGATCTGTTGGATTTAACAAACGTCAATTTAGCCACTTCTCCCGAAATACATGAAAGTAAGTGGCCGGTGAACTGAGAGAAGCATAGAGTAAACTTGAAAGTTACTTACACGATGTGTATTTGATGTGAATAATACGTGTCGTCTAATTATAATGGAAATAATTATTATTTCCGCTTTCATAGACATAAGTGTGTATTTGACAAACTCTAAATGTATTGCTTTTTTGTAACTTGTGTGAATTTAAATGTCTGAAACCTAAAATAAACACTATGGTTGAAAACACTGAATAGTTGTGATGTCAAGCGGTGAGCACTCTCCATCTCTGGCTCAGAAAATATTTGAAGCCTACTACAAAACAGGCTCATTGCAGACACTAAATTCACACCACCACACACACAAAATACTTCTTCACAGGAGCTTATATGATAGTCTTCGAAAAATACAATTATTATTATAAAAATACCTAAAATACGAACATTATTAGGATTTTACCACCTCCGCCTCGTTTTGAGCCAGGAAAAACCCTGAGATTAATATTGTTCTTTTTCAATTTTGTTTGTTCTTTTTGCATTCAGTTTGCGAAGTGACAAAATAAAGCAAAGCACAACTAGTCCACACTTTTATTTTCTCAGTTTCTGAATTTGATGTTATCAGAGGCAAAATACAAACACAATTGCATTATTATTTTTATTTACTGTCGTGTTTTTGTTTTTAAAATGTCATGTTGATAAAATACATTTTAACTTAAAGCCTAGTTTATTAACATTTTTTGGGGGGGGGGCGATTGCAAGGGGACAGGTGGGGCACAAACCCTTCCCTACCTTCAAAGTGGGGAATGGCAGAAAAAGTTTGAGAAACACTGCACTAGCTAAACCATACAGTTTATGTATAAAGGGTAGCTGAGGTAGGCAGGGGTGGTTAAATGAACAGTCTTACCTGGTCCATAGGGTCCAGAAGCCTCTACAAGTATGAAAGCATGGTTTCAGTTTATTGGGTCAGGGAAGCTGGGTTTCTCTGTTGTTTATTTATATTTTTAAAACTAGAACGCTACATCTATCAACATTTATTTAGATGTTATCATGGTATTCATTTCTTTATATTAATAATATTATTTCGGTCTTATTACCGGTGAAATATTACAGTATGCTGTAATACAGAACGATATGATCCCACAATGCAACAAAGGCATTCAATCACAGAATCGGACAGCGATCAGCTGGTCTTTGCGGTCAGTATCGCTTCAATGTACATATACAGTCATCGGTTTTGTGACCGGCAACAACGCGTTGCTCAGCTTTGTTCCAGTGAGTTATGGACCGCAATACCGTTTTTTTAAAATCAGCTGAAGACTTCGGAAGTGACGTAGTACGTGCCCCTCGGCGGATAAGAAGATAGGAAATACATTGCTTCACGTTGTATTTGAGGATTTAAACAATAAAGATAATAATAATAATAAAATACAGTGTCATAAATCTCATGTTTTATGTGCTCGTGGGCCGGCGGGCCATCAGAAATGGATTGAAGCCCATTAACGGCAGACAGCAGAAACACAGCAGTCGAACATGACTCTACTACAGATTTCTTTGCTGACCACTTTCTACCAGTTTTTACCACAGGTGCTGCCTCCCTTACACATTTGTCGCGTGACTCTACTAAGGTCATTTCCAGTCTGACCGTGGCACACTTAAACTCCTCGGTTAAAGTAGAGACTGGCAGCTGCAATATTCCTTTACTATAAAGTCCTACTCTGCTGAGGCAGCGTGGAACTCCCAACCATTTCCTGATGTATGAACTTATCAACGCTTCCAGCTTATCCACTGTTGTCAAAGAAACCTCGTACACGGTCAGTGGCCACAGCAACCTCGGCAGTAGACCAAACTGAAAGCACCAGAGTTTTAGTTTGCCTGGTAGAGCACAGCTGTTTATGCTCTTCAACCCTTCCACTGCTTGTCGTCTAACTTCTCCCACCCGAACTGTGTCCTTTAGATCCCCATCGTACCATCTCCCAAGACTCTTCACTGGCTTCTCCGAAACTGTTGGTATTGCCTCACCATTAATGAAGAATGTTTTATCTACTACCTTTCCTTTAACTATCGAGATGCTCCTTGATTTAGAGGGCTTTAATTGCATTTGTGCCCATTCAATATTATCTGTTAACTTCCCCAATAACCGATTAGTGCAGGCTACTGTTGTAGTCATGGTTGTCATGTCATCCATGTATGCTCTGATTGGTGGTAGTCGCATCCCAGAACCCAAGTGCTCTCCTCCTACTACCCATCTTGATCCCCTAATGATTACTTCCATTGCCATGGTAAAAGCCAGTGGAGAAATGGTGCATCCTGCCATTATTCCAACCTCTAAGCATTGCCATGTATTGCTGAATTTTGGAGTTGAGAAACTAAATTGCAAATCTCCAAAATAGGCTTTCACTAAATTTGTTATTGACATTGGTACTCTGAAAAAATCAAATGCTGCCCAAAGAAGCTCATGTGGCACTGAGCCATATGCATTAGCCAAATCCAGGAATGTCACATGGAGCTCCTTCCTCTCCTTTTTAGCTGACTGAATTCGTTGCCAGATAACATTGATGTGTTCTAAGCATCCTGAGAACCCTGGAATACCCGCTTTTTGAACTGAGGTGTCAATGAAGCCATTCTTTAACAGGTAGGTGGACAATCTCTGAGCAATAAT